ATTTGAACGTGGGCAGCAGTAAAGCTCACCCAGGACAACTGTAGTGAGTAAACCACTGGAGACTGTTCATGTGTGAATAAACACAGCAACCATTCACTTATTTCAATTCCTGACGATCCTAGATTTGTTTAAAGAAAATGAAGGATGATTTTCCTTAGTGACACATTACAGGAGGTATATTAAAAAAGCTAATTACACTTGGGACTTAGAGATAAATTGACATGCTCTTAAATACATACATTTCATTTTCTTTCCTCTTCTCTAATGAGTTCATAATTTAATTGGAGAAACTGCTAGATTCCCTCCAAATACGAGCAAAAATCTCAAAGGACAACAAGCTGCTTGTGCAAGTGTTCTCGTAAAACAGAGAATATTCAAGTACGGCAAATAAATACTAGAAACAAAAATGGTATTCAATTGTGTCCTTAAAAGCTTGAAGCCTACATCTCTTCATATTGATGATATGGTTCTGAGATGAACATTAATGAAAACATTTTCTATTAAAAATAAAACTAAAGCACTTGTATGCATTACCACTTCCCTAGGACAAAGTTCTGCTTTTGGGTAAATTACAGAGGGACATTATTACAGTGTTGTCAAGTGTATGCCAGAGTTGGACAGATTTAATCCAATTAATCCATCTGTAGAATGGCTCTGTAGATTAAGCCAGAGGATGAAACCTGGTACCACCCAGCCTTCCCGGTGTGCCTGACTGCTGGAGGCTGCAGCGCAATCTCCGGGCTCAGGAGGGCAGATCAGCTCTTTTGAAGAGGAAAGGGCACTCGCCTACCCCCAAATCCAGCACAGCAATATTAAGTGGGCCAGGGTCACAGCTAGCAGGATGGGCAGGCTGGCTAAAAAGACAACAAAGTCCCAACCCTCTATGTAGCAAATATGCTTTCCTTCAGAGTAATTTGTTCAGATTCTGAGACAGAATTATATTTAGAAGAGATAATGTGAGAGCAAGAAACTGTTAAGACTGAGGACACTTTTCACTTGCGTACTGTGATTTAGAGGTTTCTCTTGCTGCTGGAACTGCTGAGACGGGGTCAGAAAACCCTGGGGCTTAAATACAGAAGCTTCAAGGCGAGAAGGGTATAAAAATAAATTTCAAAGGGCTTAATAACATTGTACAGAGGCTGGATATTCTGATGTCAGAAGGAAAATGGTGGCTCTTAGATCAAAATCTAATCACCCCAAAGCGATAAGATACTTTGTTTTAGCCAGCTAGTCATTCTATCACCCACAGGGGCAATGTTTTTTAACTGGCATCCAGAATTACAGCTAATTTACAGTGTATAAATGTACATGTCACTGACAATACGGCAGTTAAAGCAGAAATACTTTGGAATGAATGCAGTTAAACCTTTAGCAGCCTGATCCAAAATCTGCTAGGAACTTTTTGCTTCACCTCAAAGGAATTATTATCAGCATTGTAGTGAACTCCTACAAAAAAACCCCAAACAAAACAAAATAAAAACCCCAAACAAAACAACAAACCACAAAAACCCCAAACCACAGCTGAGAGCTTACTGCCAGAAGTGTTCTTCACAAGGAATCGAAGACAGGCAGGGCCCACAGACAGTCCAGGCCACCTCTGCAAGCAGCGAAGTGAAAGAAACCTTCCCAGGGTCACCACACAGGACACCCTCTGATTTTCTGCAGCAAGGCCAGACGAAGGGAAAAATGTCTGCTCTTTCTTAGATTCCCATCCCAGAAGACTTTATTTATGCATTAGTCGACCTTTCTAGCCGTTAGGACCATCTTGCTTCAGCAGTTAATTAACACAAGTGCCATAATTTAATACAGTTAATACTACTTGATGCCCTTTAATATACCTTCCATTAGTGATATTATTGTAGTATTACCCTGTAAATTAAAATGAGATCAAGACTAAGAGAGGCTCTCTTTAATTAAGGGACTGGCACACTACATCGTCCATTATTCACTAGGAAAAAAATCACCCTGATTTAGTGAAGCAGACCATCAGTAAGTCAGAATTAGTTCATGTGGATTATTAGGTTTCTTGAATAGTGTGAGCACAATGGGGTTGCTGGAATTGCTAACAGCCACATTTCCTTTTTTTCATCATCTTAATAAATACACAATGGAAGTGGTAAATTGAAGATGAATAAACAGGTGGTAATAGAAGAGGTAAAGCATTCATTGAGAGTACACAGGCTTTCATCTCTAATGCAACGTACATCAGGCTTATTTCACACCAAAATGCAAAGCAATGGCAAAACAAACCCTATATGAAGTGGGCAAATCTCCTATCTGTAATTTGTTGTGAAGTATTAACCACTCCAGCATCTTGTATATTAAAGATGGCAGCTTTAAGATAGATGCTTTTCACTGTCATTGATCCTTAGAATACAGTGCAAAAAAATACACTTTATGTAGCCTTTAGAAATAGGTTATTATGAGCTTTGGTGATTTTAACTATATCTGATGTACAGGTTACTTTTTTCAATAAAAGGACTAGCTTTAGATGTGTCTGCTAGCGTCACTTATCCACCACAGGTCAAGCTCCTTGGTAAAGTGTCTTTGTATCCCGTCCTCATGGAATAGTCTAGTCTAGCTTCACTGAATATATATAAATGCCTAGGTCTCAAAGCCCAGAATATGAAATACTGTAGCAAAAAAAAATTGTAACTTCATATCCAGTTACCATCCTAAATTAACTGCAAGGGCTGGAAAGCTCAGCTGAATCTGAAATAGCAGCACAAACCCCCCGGAAACCCTTGGTTGCCTCCACCGTGTGCCCATGCTCAGGGCGTGCCATGCCACACAACCATAATGCTGATTGGGAGACTCTTCAGGGTGGCCCTATAAGGTTTCTGGTAGGAGACCAAATATAGTTAAAACCAGTTGACAGTGGGCCCATTGCAAGTTACCTTTGGTGCGACTGAATAATCAGGGGCTGCATACAGCAGCCCCACAGCTACTCAGCAGTAAGCAAGCCCATAAATTCTTTAACAAGCAGGGCTCACCGCGTATTGAAGGAAAGGCCACCAAATCCCTAAAGAGCTGTTCTCATTAGAAGAAGAGTGATAAGAATTCACATGAATCTAATCTAGCGAGATACTATTACACATCAGATATTTCTTTTAAAGCATGTGTCCAATTACTGCAGCATTTAGACAACAAGCACCAGCATCAGATAAATTCTCTGTACAGTCACAGTTCATTTTTATAGCCCCAGATGTGCTCGGAAGGTTTCTGTTTCTAATTTGCATGCAATGCACTCTTTTCTAATCCTTCAGATGCTTTCTTTGATAAAGCACTGATAGTCTAATTGAAGTCAGACTAAGCTGCAAATGGGTTTTCAGATGGGGAACAGCTTTTCCTTAAAGCGTAAGGACCTTCAAATCCTGAGCTTTGATACAATCCCTCCGTAGAGTTAACCTGTGTGTGGCCATATGGAGAAAGTATACACATTAAATAGAACGCATGTGCTATTTTTTGTATACTGAGGCTAATGTTACTAAATTATTTCAAATGGTATCTTAAGCTGTCCATGATCCAGTTAGCTCTCTCCAGAGACTTCCAAAAAATACTTTACAATGTAACTAATGACACTTACAATAAGAATTCTTAACCCAGCAACATTTACCTTACACTTTCACAGACTGAATTAGTGACTCTGTATGTATGCGGATGTATTTGGCGTGGACACACAAGACTGTAACAACATGCTAAATCTACAGTCCTAACTAATGTATTTTGATGTCATATAGAAATATATCTGCAGTGCAAAAGCACTTAATGCATTCAAATCTGTATGTGGCATCAATGATTCCTTTATATAAAGTTAAAGGAATATTTTTCAGTAGATTACAGCATAGTACTTTGATTCTATTTTATGTATTGATTTTTCCAATATGGAAATGCTTAGGAACATGAAAGGCTTATATAAAAGAAGTAGAAAGTGGCAAACTCACTGCAGGAGTAATAAAAATATAGTCACCAGTGTTTTATATAGTCACAGTCTCTTTTTTTTCCACTTGGTCTTGTGTCTGCAGAAAAGTCTCCTGGCCTTTCAAGATATATTAGCTTTTCTGTTCGTTTTGATACTTAGCTTCTCCTTAAATAAAAAAAGTTTTTTAGAAAGATTTGAACTCTCTATAGAAGAAAGAGAGGAGAAGGAAAAGGTAAATTAGAGAAGTGAGAGAATTGCTAATAGAGAAGGTCCCATTTATTTCTTCTGAACAAATTGGCATCTAAGATGCATGTAAAAGGTATCACTCTCCTGCTTGAGGTCATCAGTCAATTGCTAGTTTGAGTTGGGAAGAAAATTTCCTGATAGGAATGTCATTGCACAGTTATTATTTTTGGGACTACATCACCTGGTGCCAGCCACTGGTTGCCCCAGAGGGACTATCTGTCTTGAACTCAGCTGAGTAATCATCTTTATTATATTCAGATCAGTCTCTCCAAAACACTGTTGTGGTTTTTTTCCATTTTATTTCAGCTTCACTGCATTTCAGAGCTAATTAAAGTACAAGGAATGGACTTTAATCTCTGCCGCCTTCCTTGTTCACAGGCAGTTCATAGCCAGACCTAGTGGGAAGGGTCCGTGCAAGGGCTGCTGTATCAATCACAGCTTACATTAAAGGTCTAAAGAAGTCAAATGATAAAACAGAATCTCTCTTTTCAGTTAACTGCCATCAAGTTACTGCCATCAGACTCCAAGTATATTAAAGCAGTAAGTGTCCTAATGCCAGGGTGAATTCCTGAGCCAATGCAAGAAACTGTTAATGCAATCCTGCTCATGAGACCCAGTGCTCAAGATCCCAGGCGATTGACAACAAACACCTGGGACTTTGTGCCACTGAGTCAGAAACTTCTAGTATGGCCAGAAACAGACTTCATGTGAGCCAGATTTCCAAGGAACATGTCTCGGCAGAAAATGTTGTCATATTTGGGAAATAAACAGTTCTGAATAAACTCTAAAACCAAACACACATGCCTGTTTCTAAAGGTATATATTGTCTTACCTTCCATATACCCTTATGTCTGAAATTGCATAAAAGTAACGTGCCAGATGTTGCTCATCTACATATATTTCTCCAGTTGCTGGCCTAAGCAGTCTTATCCTCAGATCTGTGATGGTAAAGAAATCTCTTAACTTCTTGGTTGTGTCAAGCTGGCCATAAAGGGAAGCCATATTATGAAGCCGAGGTCCAGCAAAAAAAGCAAATCTATCTTTGATTTCAAAGTGGATTATTTTACTATTTGTCATGTACCCAGTAGAGTATTCCTCTGTACAAATGATTTCTAAGACTGTGTGCTGCGATAAATCCCTCACCGATTTTGGATCCATGTGGAAAGCATCTAAGCAGTCTGTGGCATAGTACTGGTAGGGCTGCCATGTTCGTCCATAGTCAAGTGATTTCTCCAGGATCATTTGGTCTGGACGGCCAGATTCAAAAGTGATAACTATGTTATCCGTCAGCTCAATGGTTTTGTTCCAGGAGAGCGTAATATTAACATGAAGAGGCTTTGGATAATCCTTCCAAGTCGTGGACTGCCAAAATGTGGAGGGATGTCTTCCTTCAAGATCAAACATCAGTTCTGGAGGATGAGCCAGTTCTTGGGTACTCGCATCACATTCATTATTGCACATGTAGGGATTCCCCTGGAAAAGAGCAAAGCAGTGTTAAAAGGCATGGTACAAGTCACTGTGACACATAAAGATGTTTCTTGTCTGGCACATGAGAACTGCTGCTTTTTCTCCAGGAGTCAAACCAAGAAAGAAGATACAAATGCTTGCAAGGAACATCTTTATCTTGACAAGATTTATCCTGGCTATTTGAACTGTTGAAGTTAATGTACAAACACACATACACAGCACCCTTGCTTCTGTAACACAAACATTTTTCTTAGTATGGTTTAAAGAAACAAAAGGTTTATTTATCCTGAGCAACTCAGACCAGTGATGGAGTCACAAAAGACCAAGGAGAGTAAGCAAGTCTCTAATAGCTCAGTAACTCTGATGCTTTCTAGAAAGATGCAGCAGCCAAAGAGAATTTCTTTTTAAAACAAGCACATTCCTCAAGAGTTCCATTCACAAAAGCAGTAATTTTTAGGGCAAGTGTTTCGAGGTCAGCAGTGCAGCCCATATATATATACCTGGTATGAACTAGTACCCAGTAGACCTTCAAGTTTCCTTCCAGCCAGGCATGAAATTTATCATGCTTAACTGTGCTCCCAGCTTGGCATCAGCTTCCCTTAAAACATTTACACTTGCCACCAAAAGCCATTAGAAAAACAGTGCTCTGCCAGCTCTGGGGCTTGATTCAGACACCTGCCATCTTATTACAGGGTAGTGAAGTACTTCAGGAAAGACTTTTCACAAACCACCGGCTCCAATTTATCAGGACAAGATAAACCAGCACTTGATTAGGTGGGAGATGTCAGCGGCTCCAGCTGGAACACTGCCGAGGTGGCTGGAGGTCTGAACTGGGGCTTGAGTTAAAAACAGCGACAAAATCAGCTTGCCAGTAGTGCACAGCTTTTACTGCTGCTTGTCCTCTGTAGCAAGGTGAAAGTGAATTATCTTCTTCCTGGACTTTTGATGCATTGACTTGCACACCACAATCTTCTGCTTCTTCACAAAGGCTATTTTGTCTGCAGATTGTCTTGCAGCAGTTGCCAAGATATCAGATCCTGTAGGCTGCACTGAATCATGTCTATCTAATTTTGGCTTTCAACAGTATATTAGTATTTGGCTACTTGTTCACTCTTTTTCCAGAAAGCAACCGCTGCTCTGTATCCTTCCCTCCGCCTTACATACTGATTTTGGAAGAAGCCATCCCTCTCATCACCGGTGGTTGGCACTGCTGGGGAAAAAGATGCATGTGCCTATACCTAGCAGTGCTCGATAGGGGTGAAAGTGTAGGTGGTATTGTCATTAAGCAGAGTTCCCCTCACCTACTCTGAAAACAGCACAAGCCCTGGTATGATAATCAGCCTTTTTTTATAATTACAGTTACGCTTCTCTCCATCCCAAAGCCTCTGGGCGATGAAGCAATTCAATGCCATCAAGTGTGGGAAATGGGATTCAAACTTAAGTTTCCACCTTGGTCACTGCTCTGCTCCTTGATATACTCCCACAAAACACAAGCAAAGGACGTCTGCACTCACTTTGACCTCCCCACTGGCAACTTCCTCTTATGTGGGTAAGGAAATACTATTTTATTTCTCTCTCTTTTTCCCATTAATACAGCTGAATGCTAAAACCAACGACGATTCACTGGGACTACAAGTTAGGGAAAAAACTGAAAGACAACAAAAAGGGTTATTTGAAAGGCAGCATACTGCTTGTTACACTGACAGCTTCAAAGCACGCAGCTGTAACTGAAAATACTCTGTAAAACGTGTCTATAATAAGTTCCTGTTACAGCTCTGATTTTGAGCTCATGGTTGCTATTTCTATGCCTTCCTTTTGAATAAAACAGTGAAAATCAAAAGTAAGTTTCAAGCAGAATAGGAAAAACACCATTTTTAAAATTATTACTTAAGCTCTATTTATCAGACACAAACACCAGGATTTGCTAACTTACTTAGGCCTCTTCTTTTCCTGACGGAAAACACGCATATTGTGAAATCTGAAAGGTTCCAGACCCTTTGACTATGTGTAAATATCAACTTTGCAGAAAATGCTCAGAGTTGTGTAAACCACACCTTTCTGAGGTTGACGGGAAAAATGTGGTCACTTCTGTGCCTGTCACCACAAGGCTGCCTGTGTGCCTGTAACATATATGCTTCAATCACTTTGGTAAAAGCAACTTCGCTGGGAGGTCATGGGTATTGCAACCCAGCATATAAATGCTCCTGGGTAGCCAGACAGTTGCATTAAGCACTGCTGAGGGATGGCTTTGGGTTCCTGCTCCACAAGCAGCCACTGAGTCTGTTGTGATTCTTCCCATTAAAAACTAAAGCCGCTCTGATCCTCTAGTGCCTGGATGCTGGAGAAGACACGTTTTATGACTTCCAGCGGGTAACCCAGATTGTGTGAGATGTATTGTCTCTCTTTGTATATAAAAGTATATAAAAGTTGATTTTTTTTTGCTCCCGTTTTCTTTCACCTTTTCCTTTTTAGCAAAAGCTGAGGTGCCAATATAATCAGAGAATGCTGGGAGCCAGGGCTCTAGCAAAACACAGGCTAGTGTGAATGCAGTGAGATCGTAAGAGCTGGTAGCAATAAGGTACCTAAAGAACGGTGCAGTGAATGCTAAAAAATCAGCCTTGGCTTGCTACTGAATGGTAGTCTACATCCCTGTGGGCACAAAACTTTTTGGTAAAATGAAGCCATGCCAATTAATGGCAGAGTATAGTGAGAAATGGGTCAGAATCACAGTGCTGCACCTCAAACTCTTCCTAGTGGTAACGTCAGTGGCACAACCTGCCACTGAAACCCTGGGGTAAGGACATCACTGCAAACGAGAATCGTAACAAAAAGCTTCAGGCATATCCTCCTCGATATACTAAATTATTCTTCTAATTTTATAGCATGCAAATATCTTTCAAGAGTGAATGATTTGATGACACCAAAACAACCTGTGTGGAGTTCAGTATTCTAGGAAGGAAATTAGAAGAAAAAAAAAGTCTAAGCTGATATAAGCCGATAAAATAAATGCCCTGAATTCCAACGCAGGAAGGGGGAGAGAAATTATGAGTTTCCTATAAGACCCCCTCTGCCTACTGACATGGCAGTCACTGATGTAATTTTGCAATATTTAATGTGATTATTGCTTCAGAGGCTTGGAGTCAGATTCCCATTTTCTCTACCAGCAACTTGGCTTTAAATGGCTTCCAATTCATCTTAAATGTAATTTGCATGTTAAGTCATACTCTCATTACCAAAACAGTGTAAAGGGGTCTTAACCTACATGAATGTTCCTTAGTACACATTAGTATAAAAACAGTTAATTTAACTGAGATTACTTACATATTTCAATGTCTTGATCTCTCTGATAATCCTCTTTAAGACCTCTAGCTCAGTAAAATGAATACAACAAAGAGAAACTTTCCTCAATTTATGAAAACTAAGCTCATTCTGTGTTGGGGACATCTAAAGGACCAAAGCATTAGCAGCTGTAAGTAATTTTGTGACCAGCAGGCAGCTGTAAATAGATCTTAATTTAAGCCTTCCAAGCAGCAGCTCTTCAGCTGGACAAGGTAGAAAATATTTATAACTTTTCAAAATGATATTTAAGCCATTAGGAGATTTCTAAATAATTAAACACTAATAAATACTTCTAAACACTTTACTGCCAATTACTATAAAAGGTAGCTGAGGCTTTCCAAGCACCATGGCCATCTAAAAGAAATCCACTATTTTCCTGTACAGTAATTGGAGACTGATATTAAATAACTCCTTGTAGGCAGACAAATTAAATTGCTATTTATTTTGTTTTAGGCCGCTCATGGAATTAAAAATATTACCAAAGCTACTGACATAGTCTAAAAGTTTTGGCCTTAGGAAGAGGTACTCGTTCTGCAGGCACGGCAAGGGCACGTGGCTGCATCACACGGTGTGATCATGCTCAGCCCCAGCTGGAAAAAGCAGAGTTACCAGAGAAGCTGCTGACTGGGGCTGACTGGTCCCAGAAGGGCTTCCCCTCCATTAGCTGGGTTTAGTTTGTTTTAGTACACAGTGATGTCTGTTTGTGCCAGCCAGCTTAAATTTCTATAGCAGCGTCTGAGGTGCTCTGCTTGGGACGGGGTGCTGGGGTTGGCCTTGCTCCCGCTGGGCAGGAGCATGTCTTACCAAGGGCTTCTTGAGGAACAACTCAGTGACGGAGGGGATGGTGACCCTAGAGTGAGGATTTTGGTTAAAAACAGAGGTCTAGCACTAGTATGACCTTTGAATGTCAGGAGGGGAGCTGGCAGCAGCACTGCTGCAGCTGCTGTTTAAGGGTTAAAGTCGGAGCACTGCCGCTCAGGCGACGCTGCCCGTCTCTCGTCAGGATGGCTCCTCCGTGGCATCCACACAGGCTTAGGGCTTGATTGAAGATGTTGCTTTCAATCTACTTCCTGTCCACACTAACACCTCATGGACTTTTTTACTCAGGAACAAAGACGGGGGGGCTTAACCTTTCTGCAGCGTGAATATTGGAAGCTGTATCACAGATTACATACTGTAATAGACACCTGGCTAAATCCCTACAGAGGATTATAACTTGCATTTTCAAACTGGTGAAGGCTGCTGAGGTCAAGCCAGTCAAGATTTTAAGAAGGAGCAAAATAAATTTTTAAGAAGTGAGTCACAGCAACTGATTTTTTTATACCTCTGCTTCAAGGTAGTTAGATTGGATGCACAAGATAAGAAATAAATACTGTCTGACTCACATTTGGAATAATTAAATTACTGCATTCAATTCACACTTCTGGAAATAATAGAGAATTTCTGATCTCTTTTCCAAGAGATCATTGCAAGTAGTTCGCTTGGTACTGTGCTCTACATACTAGATGACTAATTAGACAGTAATAGCTAATAGCAGCAATTGCCCTAATGCTTACATTTTGCATGTGGTTTCTAACCAGGAAATACTTGTTTACCACGACAGAGCCAGATTATGAAACCATTAATTGGGAGATACCACTCATTAGGCATTGTCCTACTAAGGGCAA